TGTAACAAGCTCCTCTCGTCCCCTGCAACAGATTTCTCCCCACCCCCCGCCCCCACCTCTGTAGCAGCTTGAATTAGTCCCAGCACCAAAAAGTGGCAGTACCAAGAGAACGTTTTTTTTTTTTTTGTAGTTTGTGCCTATATAAGCAAGAAACAAAGAAGGCTCAGGGCTGTGATTTGGGAAGCTATACCCCCGCAGCCCGCTGGTGAATAAAGTGCTCCTTTACAATTCAGCTGTGCATCTTTGACTATCTCCCTGACACATTACAACTGATGTAGGACATTTGCAGATCAACACAGCCTCAGTTATGTAGTATTTATCTATCAATCTGACAAATGCGTGATTTTCCATATTATTACTAGGGAGTTTGAGGATCAGAAACAATTATCATGCACATGCAATGGACAAGTAGGTTAAAAGGCATAGTCAAGCCTTGGCTGGTGTGGCTCAGTTGGTTGGGCATTGTGCCATGCACCAAATAGTTGCCAGTCTGATTTTCTCAGGTCTGCGGGCCAGTGCTCTAACCGCTGAGCCAAACTGGCCAGGGCGGCCAGTTCAGTTTGCAATCAGGGCACATGCCTGGGAGGGGGCGTGTGGGAGGCAGCCCGCTCTCACTCTCACATGGATGTTTCTCTCTCTCTCCGTCTCCCTTCCTCTCTCTCTGAAAATCAATTTAAAAAAATATATATGGCATAGTCCAAAAATAAGAAAAATTATAGAAACGAAAAGTCTGGTGAGAGGTAAGAACCAGGTTATAGAGGGAGGAGCTAATGTTCCAGTGTCACAGATCAAGTTGGAGGAGTGGCTTCCCTGGAGAAAGGTGTGTTACCTGTCTGAAGCGCTCTTGCTGATCATACTTAAATCAGACTCGGGGGAATACTCTAAGATTCCCCCCTTTTCTACATGAATCATTCGGGCAGAAAAAGGAAAGCAGTTTCAAACGAAGCTGGTAGAGTGCTTGAGGCTTCACTGACTCACCATCTAGTCCTGAAAACAAGGCAGTGCAGCCAAACCGCTGAGTCTCGTGTCAAGAGGCAGCGATGCGGATGGGCTTCCACAGTGAGGCCTATACTGTGTAAACAAGCAAGGAGGTAAATACAGTCATAGGCATATACCCTATGAAAACAGGAGGAAGAAAACCCAAAGATTAATGAATACAGTAAATCAGTAACCAGTTTCTGAGTCTGTAAGACTGTCACCTGAGAAGACTTCCAAATGCAAGGCTGTTGATGGAATAAAATTAAGCAGTGGCAATCTGACAGATTCTCTTTGTGGTTTGAACATCTTTGGTGATGTCATCAGGCGCTGAGGTAAGTTCTGTATGGCGTATACGGACAGACCTTAGAAAAAAGGTTTTAGTTCCCAATAATTTCTAGTCCAAAGATGGGAAGAAAAAATGAAACATTAGTTTGGAGGGTCGAAGAAAACTAGAAGAGTTCAGGAATCAGTTCAGTTTACAGGTGAAAACAAAACTTTGAAGACAATTAACGGTGCCAGATTCAATATCCATTGGGCATTCTGATTTCTATTGAAACACAATTTTTCTCCCTAAATTTACCCTCACTGTCATCAAAGAGACTGCATTGAGACCAGTTTTCATTTGGATTGATTATTTGCATAAACACAACACGAATAGTAATTGATCCCACAGGTTCTTTTAAATCTGCTTTGCTGGGATTTCACAAAGAACCTTCAGATTGAGCTTTAGCCAGCCCCTCAGGGCACAGAAGCCAATTCACACAGCACCAGGGTTTGCCTGTACTATTTATAGGTTTGGGGACATTTCTCGAGTCCTTGAGGTCTCCAAAAATATCTTGAGGGTCCTTCCTTGCCACCTTAAAGGAAAGCAACCTTCAGTGATTACCGGGATAGACTGCCAAAAATCACGTGACCAAGCAAGGTATCGGGCCATTTCTGCAGTGGGTTTTTATTAGCTTCAGAAGTCAATCTAAATTTTGTAAAGCTTTCTGGTGACATCCAGAGTCCAGGCAAATCTCTCTTAGTCACAGTCTTGGTTAATAAAACCACAATTGAAAACTGGTCTTATTGGATTCATGCAAAGAAATATAGTGCTATGACTTACCCACTAAGAATTGCCAAATTCTGGAGGGATCCATCCGGTAGGGAGAAAAATGTAAAGCAAAAGAACCTGTTCTTTTGACAGAGTGAAACGAACCAAACTCCAACAATGTATCAGACAGCTAAAAGTAGGCAATTCACGTTTTCTAGATCGGCAAACACATTCCATACCTTTTAGAAACATAGTGGAAACACATTTACCATTTTTGAGAGACATATTTGTATGAGAGTAAAACTCACTGATCTAGAAAAGGAATAGCTGGAATAAGTAAAATTGATATGTTCAGGTGGCAAAGTGTTTTCTCTACTGATAAGATTTATCAGAAATTTGCATTTTAAAAGATGGTCCAGATAAGAGTTCTTGGAGACCAGGTTTTTGCATTTGAAGGAGACTTTGGCTTCCTGAAGCCAGTTTTCTGTAAGCCCCTTCCTTCAGGAATACAGAGGTAAATTTCTGCCAGTTGGGGGCGTATGTACCATAAAAGGGTTTCTGGAAGCACTGTGGATGCAGATTTCATTGTCTATTGTCTTTGGTGAAAGAAAAATGTATCCTTGTAAAGGAGGGAGAAAAACTTTTGTCCTCATAAAAGAGGGAGATATGGGCGTCCCCAATTTTCCCTAGCTCTTATATCATGTCTCCGGGGCCTAGGTTGGCACAGGACCCTCCACTGCCAGGGGCAGAGACGGTCCTGAAGATGGCACTCCAATGTGATCAGGTGTGGAGGATTACCAACCACCAGTGTTGATCAGGCATTGCTGACTGGGTGTCCTGAACTCCACGCGGGTGATTCTGACGGCCTCTGGCCTTCGCTAGTCTTATTGGAGGTTCCCACCCTCACGTCAGTCTGAGCGAGGGGTGCCTAGTATTTCCACTGCCTTGGGCAGAAAAATTTGTCCTGTAACTCTGGCCTCTAATAGTTGGGCAAGTAACCTATTTCCCTGTCTTTTATATTTCCAATAGCCTTGGTCCTCCAGCAGGCCTAGTAAGACGGTCTCCCCGAGGAGAGGAAGAAGCTTTCCTGTTACACCGGCCAGACAGAGATGAACACGCCATTTCGTTCATTTCTGTGAGCATTTGCATCTGAGGCTTTTTATTTATTATTTACCGATAGGAGCATTAATGAAAACAAAGGATTTGGTTGCCCCGGAGGCACAGACAAGCAGTTGCTTGTGCAGCAGATGTTGGGATGTACTGGAATCCAGGCTGCGTGGTAGCGGCACAGCCCCAGGTGGGCACTCTGGAGGGGCAGCGGCTCCTCCTCCTCAGCAAAGCGCTGTTGCTAGGGGTGGGACCCGGGGTCCTTGCAGCGCAGCTCCCCAAGCCACGTTCTGGGCCGCAACCCTAAGGGTCTGAGTCCCAGGAGGCCTAGCTCCCCGGGTCTGAGCGGTGGGGGGCAGGGCGCAAAAGAGGAACGGAGCTGTGTGCTCACGTTGTGCATAGCCGGGCTCAACTGGGCACAGCGGCCGTGGGAAGTCTAAACTCCCGGGGAGTCCCCACTCCGGGCTTAAGGGCGCTGCAGACAACGGGAATGGAGCCGCGGGGTGCGCTTTGGGTTTCTCCGCCAGGAGTAAAATGCAAGGCGTCCGCGGCTGCGCACAGCTCCTCGCATTCTGGTTCCCCTGGCACCCGTCTGTTCATTGCCCTGCAGGGACCCACAGCGCTGGGCCGTTTTGCACGCAGGACAGTGCACGCCCAAGCCGCGGTCTGAGCCGAGCAGGGCCAGAACAGAGAAGATGAACCGGAGAAACGCAGGTAGTAGCAGTGGGGTGTGGTGAGAGGGGACACGGAAAGTGAAGATCTGAGTTTTCTTCCCACAAGACAGGGCTCCTCCCTCTCCTGCCAGCTCGCCAAAGGTTGCCAGTGGAAATTGTGTTCTTTCTCGGGATCGGGAGGAAAGCATGCCATGGGAGACTGTGTTGTAAGACTTATTCAGATGGAAACAGACCCCGCCTCCGACCTCACACCCTGCAACAGTTGCAGGAGTGTGCAGTCTCCCCTGCTCCCTGCTCTGGAGGGCTAGCTTAGGGTGCTGAGGGTGAGCAACAGCTCAGGAGGAGACGCACCTTTGCATGCCTCATCTCTGTCCATCCGGCCATGGAAGAAGTCCAGCTGTGTCTTCAGCAGGGCCAGGGACAGGTGGTGCAGACAGTAACCTGCCCAGATGGTGTGCATCCGCATCATTGGCTGAACACCTACCACACGTCTCACTTGGGGCCAGGGGCTGAAGATACCAAGTAGACAAGGCAGGAAAGGTCCCCATGCTGATAGAGATGACACTGTCAGGGGAAGAGAGAAGATAGACAAGCTAAGCTCTTGTTTGTACACTCTGGTTTTCTGCCTGAGGACGAAATGCCTGCAGTCACAGGCATCGCATATACACAGCCAACCCCGGAGACAGAGAGAGAGGTTTTCCTTCCCTGACCCACTGATCAGGAACCTCTGCTTTCAATGTGACTGGGCCCAATGACTCGCACCATCTCCCTGACATCGGCATGGTGATAAGGAAGGAGATTGTCAAACTGGGTTAGGTAACAGGGCCTGTCCAGTTGGAACTGGGGTTAATCGCAATTTAACCCCATTTCTGGGAGATTTGGGGTCCAAATAGGATAAGAAAATGATAAAAATTTTACCAGATATATTTCTATCATGTTCTCCACTCTTAGCTCCATCTTCACTGTTAGTTCAGGTTGGGATATAGATACTGTGGACACTGGGATCTTGGCAGAAAAACACAATCCAGGCTGTCCCTGTCTCACAAACTGGAAGGGCCCCCAACCCTGTCATTGCACCGGGGAGAGGGGCAGGCTCTAGGGCATATTTGCATGAGCAGCCCTGCCTCTGTGCGCCACCTGGGAGGGGATAAGAGAAGTGTGGGGAGCCCAGCCCCAGCGCTGTGTCCTAGGAAAGGGCTGTACTCACCATGGCTTGGACCCCTGTGATCCTTTTGCTCCTCTCTCACTGCGCAGGTAGGGACAGGCCTCAGGGACCCAGAGCACCTGCACCCTGACCCTTCCCTTCACTCCCATGTGTCTGTTCGCAGGTTCCCTGGCCCAGCCTGTGCTGACTCAGCCGCCCTCCCTCTCTGCCTCTCCTGGAGCCTCAGCCAGACTCACCTGCACTCTAAGAAATGACATCAGTGTTGGTAGCAAATATATGTACTGGTTCCAGCAGAAGCCAGGGAGCCCTCCCCGGTTTCTCCTGAACTTCAAGACAGACTCAGAGAAGCACCAGGGCTCGGGGGTCCCCAGCCGCTTCTCTGGATCCAAAGACACCTCGGCCAATGCGGGGCTTCTGCTCATCTCGGGGCTGCAGCCTGAGGACGAGGCTGACTATCACTGTGTGATCTCATATGAGAGTGCTTCTCACAGTGACACACACAGATGGGGAAGTGGGACATAAACGTCAGCCTGCTCAGAGTCTTGTTTCGTGACAAGTGAAACATTTAAAAATAACTTGCATATATACACACTATATGTGAAAGTATGCTGTGGTTTATAATGGGTCAACTGCCATTTTTCCATTTAAGTTTCTGAAGCCTAAGGACACATAAAACAAAAATGAATCATGATGATGCTGAAATATGGCCCGTGTACGCCAGAACCGGTGGGGCTGCGCTTTTCTTCTTGAAATGAAAAAAGGAGCTTTTCCAAGCCTTCATCTTCACCAGAGCCCAGGGGCCATCCCAGCAGGTGGACTGGGCTCCACATCACAGACTCTGTTCTTCCAGGGCTCAGAGCAGATACCTTCCCACCTGTCCTGGCTCCTGTGCGCAGGGCTTTCCCAGGAGTACCGTGCCCCGGGGATGAAACACTAAGACGTGAGATGCTGTGTGAAGTCTGGGGCTCAGGGAGGATTCCAGGCACAGGGCTGGAAACCTCTTTAGGGGTCATGAGGGTGGATGAATGCTTCACAGCTGCTCAGAAAGTACGAGCTTGGCCCAGGGAAGGTGAAGTCAGGTTCATTAATGAGATGCTCTTGCAGCTGACACCACTCAGGACCTTGGGACTTTGGTGAGTGGGTTTTTCCCTGAGCCCACAGGCACTGACTGTGTTCTTTCTCCTCCCATACCCCACTGGAGCCTTCCAACAATCTAGGGTGTGGCGTGAGCCCAGCCTGGGAAAAGGATCGGATTGGATAAGGAACAAACCGCAGATCTAGGAAATGGATTGGTCAGGGGGAGGGCTCAGTGCAGCTGGGAAGGATTGAACGTTGGTTATTTTGAAGGGCACCTGGTCTTCCCAACTTCAGGTAATATGGTCTAAGCCTAACAAAGACCTCTCACTGGGTGACGCGCGCTGGGTACACGCGGTCCTTTGCGCATCGGAGCCGCGCACATTCTCTCACTGTAGCAGCTACGCGGGGCCAGCAGCCACCGTGACCCCCAGCAGCGCGGACTCGCGGACTCGGAGCTGGAGCCTGGGTACGGGAGTGCAGCTGGGGCTACAGACTGTGCTCGCTGGGCTGGGCCAGAGGCCCAACTGGACTAAGCTTTTCATGGCACAGAATCTCTGGACGGGGCCTTTCCTCTGGGCTTGATGAAGACAAGACAGGACTTTCCCCATAGTGTGACAGAGGGAGGAGACCGGACGCCAGGAATCTGGGGACAGCCTTCCATTTCTATTCCAGTAAATCTTATCACCAAACCTCATCCTCCCAGGTGGTCCCTGGAATGCTTTTCTTGCACGTCCGTGAAAGGAGCCCATTTTCACCAGCAACAAAGCCAACCCACATCCTTCTCAGTCTGGGGTTGGAGATGAGCTCTAGCACCTAGCCTCAGAGAGGGGTGGAGGGACACACATTTGCATGGAAGCCCCTCCTCTGGCAGAGGGTGGGGAAGAAAAGGGGGCCTGGGGCAGCCCAGCCCACTGTGGGCTCAGGGTTGTGACCATGGCCTGGACTCCTCTCCTCCTCGTGCTCCTCTCTCACTGCACAGGTAGGACAGGCCCTGGGGACCAGGCTCAGTGCCCAAATGGATTCCCCTCCTGCTCCATCACCTGAAACACTTCCCTGGTCCCTGTCCCATCCCTGACAGTGTCTGTGTTTGCAGGTTCCCTCTCCCAGCCTGTGCTGACTCAGCCGCCCTCCCTCTCTGCCTCTCCTGGAGCCTCAGCCAGACTCACCTGCACCCTAAGTGGTGGTTACTGTATTGGAAGCTATGGCATAGCCAGGTACCAGCAGAAGCCAGGAAGCCCTCCCCAGTATCTCCCGAGTTTTAAGTCAAACTTACTTAAGCAACAGGGTTCCGGAGTCTCAAGACGCTTCTCTGGATCTAAAGACACTTTGGCCAGTGCAGGACTTCTGCTCATCTCTGGGCTGCAGCCTGAAGACAAGGCTGATTATTACTGTGCTACATACAACTCATGGCACTGGGAACAGTGACACCCAGTGTCTTGGATGACGAGGAAGTGAGACAAAAATCTCTGGGCCCATAGACCTGGGCTCTGAGCCTTTTTAATTGAGAAACTTCTGTGGCGGTATCTATAGGGGAGACTCCTCCCTGTCAGACCTGTCCTCGAGGACGGAAGAGTCACATGGTTCTGTCTGTTGCTGAGCCACACGGGGTGTCCCAGAAACACACACACCTGAGGCATGGAATCCAACTGCCCACGGCCACAGGGTAGGAGTAAGTTTTCAAGAATAAACACTGTTGTCTGCAACTACAAATGATGGCCAAGACAACCATGTTTCTCTCCAAATTTATGCCATAAAATGTGAATATTGTGTTACTAATAAGACATCCACAGTGATATGCCAATACTCACCCTTGGTCATAGACACACTTTCCTTTGTCTCTGGATCAGCCTACACATCTAACTGGACCTAGATCCTGCAGACTATCACCCCTCACCCCCTTCTCTCCCCTGCAGCTGCACCCTCACCTCCTCAACTTCCCTCGGGCTTTTCACATCTTAACTTCGCCTTCCCATTAGGGTTTCAGAGAAAAGTGACAAGTTCTTGCTGTGGCTTCCTTTCCCCAGGGCTCCATCTCTAGGGAGGGTGATTAACAGACATTAGGACCAGAATAAACTTTCTTCATAATCTTATTCCCTCTTCCTCTCTAAACTAGAGTTGTCCACTCCCCACCACCCACAGCCAATCTTTTTTAATATGACAATACCATGATTGATCTTCCTTTAAAAATGTGGTTTTGGACCAGCCTGTGAGTATTTGCACATAGGAGCTATTGATACTTTTATGATTCCTCTTTCAGCATTACTGAGGCTCTTCACAAGGTCAGGTCTGATGTCAGAGACAAAGGACCGGCTGCATATTTAACTGGCTGCCAAATATTTTCTCTTGTTCCCAATAATATTTGTTTCCTAAGAACATCAGGACTAATTTAGCCACATACCCATTTTGCTCAGATTAGCCCCACGCATTAGTACTTATATAAAATAAAGATAAACACTCTCCTGCTCACCCCCAGGGAAACGTCAGGACCATGGACCACTGTGGATAATGACAGTGGTGTGAGTTGTAGGAAGACGGGGGCGGTGTGCCCCCCTGTGCTTCCTGAACCTGAAGCCCACACAGCTGTGGCTCTCGTGCCTGCGGGGTCAAAGTGCACAGAATTCTTTCACTCACAAGACCTGGTCTTCTGAGTGAGTAGAATTGTCAGCAGAGCTAATCTGCACCAAAGTCTTCCTTCCTGTGTCAGGTTTATCCGGGTCCACGTTAAGTGGCCTTCCAGACACTGACCTTCTTTAGCTCGAGCTCCAGGACCCTGGAAGGTCTTGCAGAGAACCAGTCCCAGGAGTGGGTTTGCATAGAGAGCACCCCACAGGGGATGGAGAGAAGGTAAGAGGGTTGGGGACCACATGCCCTTATGCTGAGGAAATGGCTTCCTGAGGGTGCATGGGGCCAAATCTCTCTCTCTCTCCACTGTGACCCACACTTGCCCTGTTTGTTTGAGGTCTTGCCCTGGAGCACGAGACCATGCAGGACTGGCAGTAACCGGGGCCACAGACCGCGGGCTCCAGAGGACCACGCTTTAATCTGAAGCAGAGACTCTGGACGTTGGCCTTCGTTGTGGCCACAGTTGGATTCTTTCCATGGCAGGATGAATGCAGATGGGACACTGGGAACGCAGAAGGGGAACTCCTTTGATTTTGCATCACAAATAAGTCATCTTGCCACACCACAATCTCCCATGTGTGGGTTTGTGAAATGCTTTTCTTGCGATCCTGTGGAAAATCCCGATTTCTACTGATGACAGTTTTGCTCAGCAGCGTGGTGAGGGCACTCTAGATCCCAGAAGCCAGAAGGGCAGCAGGGGGTTGAGTTTGTTCATAGCCCTGGGGTCTGTCTTATCCATGGTCAGGAGATCCTCTGGATTTAGAGGACTTCCTTAGGGACTTGTTGGTCCTGCTAAATCTTCGTATTAAAATAAATGTTTTTGTCTGCTTACTGCAATAACCTTCCTATTACATTTACTATTTCTAAGTGTGTGGATATTTACTTTGCAAGGTTGTAGCAGTTTTCAAAACCAAAACTTCCAAAATCTTTGTTCAAATCTAATCACTTCCTTGTATACTTGATTACAAGGCCTAGTTGTCTACCTCTACTGTGGAAAAATGTAGTGACCAAGTTTACTACCTGAGTGCCACCGTTCCTGTCCCTGCACTCAGGCCACAAGGCAGTGTGTGTGTGACAACAGGGACTGGATCCAGGGACAGGTCATACTCTCCCACGCTGTATCCCTCTTCCACCTGAGGCTGCCACCAAGGTAGTGGCTTCTGCTGGAAGCATGTCCAGGGATAAACTGGGTCTGGGTCCCCGGCCTGGACACTTGCTGGAGACCCGTGTTCGCTGACACGCCCAGGGGAGCACATACGAACCAGGTAGCCCGGCCAAACCCTCCCCTGCATGATGCGACAGCCGGCCGAGCCGCAACCTGCACAGGCAGGTAACTGACTGTCACCTGGATGACTCCTCTGCTCGTGCAGCTGATCCATCATCCCATCCCATTTCGATGCAAAGCAAATGTTCACAGGTAGAAATTAATGTACAAATCACTATTTGAATGTCTGTGAGCACGGCCCCACCCATCTGTCCCACTGCCTTTCTCCCCAGTTCCAGAAAAAGACCTGCTGCCACCCCCACTGGACTGACAATGATAAAGAAGTGGGGCAACAGCCTCTTCTCCTGGAACTGCTCAGGACTCAGCCTGGGTGGAGGAGGAGCAGGTGGAACTTCACCCATCGCTGCTGTCCACTCTGTATACCACCCGAGTATTGGCTCCATGTCTTCTGTGTTCAGGGATTTCAGACCACTCATGAGAAAGCATATGACCTAAGATGGCAGTAACACACCACAGGCTCTATTTGGGGAGCACTTTGACAGGTTTGTTTGCAGAGAAAGTCCCTTGTTGGGTCCCTAACCGGAAGGCAAAGAAGGTA